TTTTTTTTTTTTTTTTTTTTTTTTTTTTTTTTTGCAGATATATAATTGCGCATGTCAACAAGAACAGACCAGTAGCGTACTGTCATTATCGTTTTGACGTAGACAATGGATTTGCTGTTTTGTATTGGTGAGTCTTTTCATTCGACAAAGCGGAGTTCTATAATATTTGAAAAAATAAATCTGGTGTTCCACTACGAAATGACTTTTTCAAACATTTGTTCACTAAAAAAGCTTTTCAGTTATGAGATTCAAGTAGAACGAGAATTTCAAGCTCTCGGAATAGGGACTGCTTTAATGACTATGTTGGAGATACTTGGCAAGAGGTAGATTTCTGGCATTTTATTTCAAATGATCTCAGAAATTTTACATTAGGTTGTCAACTTTACTGTACAAGTTTTCCAGAACTTCAATGGACAAAATAATGGCAACTGTTTTTGCGTTCAACGAGAAGTCGTTGGGATTTTTCCACAAGCTTGGTTTTTCAGCAGATATAACATGCCCGGATGCAGAACAAGATCTTGACTATTTAATTTTATCAAAGTCTTTAAAAAATGCTTGATTGAGTGATGTAAATTAGCCTGTTTAAATCTTAACGTTGGCACTGCTTCACAACTGCACCTAGCGAACTATTTTGTGCTGGTTACTCGTCACTGAATTGTTTCAGTAGTAACAGCTATTTTGTAAATGCGCTGTACTGAAGTGATTGGCATGATCAGCAAGCAAATTTTTGCGCCTTTTTATCTTTCTTTAGATGTTGAAAATGCATCTCTGCAGTTAAAATTTGTTACTAATGTAAATTTGAAAAGAAAAGTTGTGCATTTTGATTACGCAGGCTTTTGCTGGTGCTACTGTACTGTATAAGCGAACTTTATACGGGCTTACTTTTCTCCTATTCTTTTGATTCAAATTCATTTTGAGTTCTCAGGTTTTATTGCTTATTGGTCAGACTGTTCTGGGACGCTTCTCTCATTGGAAATTGATAAACTTTTTGCTGACCCTTTTCTTTTTTTATTTTACGGTGTTAGCTGATACTGGTATTTGTGTTATATTTATTGTGTTGAAGGATTTTGAATACTCATTGAAAATATAAAGTACTTTTTGTAGTTGTTGTAAACGTTCAGAAATTAAGCTTCTTTCTATAGCACTTTGAAGCGGTTGCTGTTGATTTCTAATGATCAGAAATCGGCAGTTAAAGTGATTTACCCGTGAAGAACTATGATATAAAGAGTAAGAACAATTTTTTAATGGCTGGGGGATGTAGACGGTAGCCGTATTTAAAAAACTGATATCTGTTGAAATTCTTGATTTAGAAGAAGAAGCGGTTTCAAAAAATGTTTCACTATTTGGAAGCAGGACAGGATTAAGATATATGATGATGATTACAGGTAATTGTGTGGGGGACAATGGCAGAAATCCAGAATATGAACTTTGTTTATTTAGTGGATTGTTCGTTTTTGGAGAAGAAATGAATGAACAGTGCAAGCTTCTTGAAAATTAGTGTACTTGAATTGCGTTAAGTTTGGCAAATTTCTTTACTGACTTCCTGACTACTTGTCTTGCATCGTCTTTAGTCTTTAATTCTTGTGTACGTACAGTAAGAAAGATGAATATCAGGCGAGTTAACAGATGGTAATGATTTCCTTCTAGTAAAAATTGTCTCGGACATCTTATATCAGGTTTTTAAACAAAGACTGAAGTCGTCACTTGGGAAGATACTGCTTACGAATAAATAAAAAACGTCAAGGGCAGGCGGGTGTGATTGATTAAAGAAGGACAAGTTAAACTTTATGATACAGTGAATCACATATTTCAAAAACGCTAAAGGGAATTTGAAGATTATGGTTCATTAAACTTCCTAAAAATTAATTTCTTCTCCAAGCACGTTGTCTTTTGGTTATCAAAATTACAAAAAAGCTACATATTCTTCAGCATCATTTTTGTCAGTGAAAATAATATGTTAAAAAAATTTTGTGAACGACAGTTACTGATTCAGACTATAAATCAAGTGAAACGTTTGGAATTTTTACGCTTTAAATTTGATATACTGTTCCTAATAAGGGCAACAAAAACAACTATGAGACTGGGTTTACATGTATTTAGTTCCTGTTTTTTACAGTTTTATTCAATATCGATACCAAATTAAATATTTACTATTTTGTTAATAACTACTTCAGCCTAAAAATTTTTAAAAAAACCGCGTTAGATGCTTGATTGTGAACTAATTTACTGCCGCTGTGCAATGAGGTGTTAAAGCCAAGCAATTTTTATAAACATTCAATTGGTTGCTGATTTTAATAGTAATGTGTCATCGTATTGGCTACAACATTAGCCGTTTATCACTCGTATTATCAAATGGAACAAACAATTAATTACAGAAATGTACGTAAAATGGGCATAAATAATGAAAAAAAAAAAGTAAGTGCGAAGAAAGATGAGCATTATGTTCAATGAAGTCATAAGAAAAACTGTGAAAACCCGAGTAACAACTAAGACTACTCTCGAACCGTCCTCAAGCTTGATTCCCAAATCCACGAATACATTTTAACTCAAAAATAACATTTTTTTGAACAAAACAAAAAAGTGCATTTTTCACTTTCGACAAAGTGCACTACAGTTTATTGGGATGGAAATTGCGTTTAACAATCAATACCTCAACAATCATAGATGTAAGAATATCTGACTATGGTAACAAAAGTTAAAGATGAAACCCCATTAATTTGATGTCGAAGACACCTTTTTTCAATTCTAGTGAAAGTCTAAATTCCTAAGGCCAACTAAAGCTTCTGCAGTTGACGATTCGAAAATATCTCCTTCAGAAACAATCTCAGCGCTTTCTTGTATTAAATAGATGACTCAACTGTGGAGGTATAGTAGGGAATAAGTGCTCCGGCGGGCTAAAGTTCTTTGCAAATCTTGAAAGCTGAAAAGCTTAGTTAATTAGTTACTTCAACTTTGGCGATGAACAGCTGTTTTTATATTTTTTATTTTTTTTTTTTTGTTTTTTTGTTTGTTTTATTCCTTCTGATACATTATCCTACTGACCGCTGTACCATAATAAAGCATTTCAAAATAAGAATCTTAATATTTGAATAACTGTAAGAAATTTAACTTACTTGTTCTTTTAGCGAATCAAGAGCACCTCCAGTGTTTGCCCATCGTTGTAAACGCTGCAAATTGTCAATACCAATAGCACGGTCAACGTGACCAAGCAGTCTAGCCTGGCTATCCAGTTTTTGGCTCCCCAGTGCTACCTAGAAGTTAAAAGATAGTATAATTTGCAACTTCTTTTATCCATTACCGGATTTAGTTAATTTAAAAAGTAGCAAAACAAGAACTGCAGTCAATCCGTACTTCAAGAATATCGATTGCAGCAGATTCCATAGGTGTCCCTTGTTCGAAATGAGTCATTGCTTGGTTGAATCCCAAGTCTGCTTTGCTAAGTACATTGAACAGCGCCGATGGTTTGAGCTAAAATTTTTATTTTGAGTTTTATGTAATCATTGTGGGTTAGCTACTTTATCCTAGATTCTTTTCGCTAATTTAAAATATTTGTAAGACATTTAAAATTATTGTTTACAGTTGTAGGAGGATTTTGCGTAGCATCGATCACTTGGTAGGATGGAGGTATTCCGGCAGCTGATCCGCCGACACTTACTGCTGGAACAGGAGGTGGTATTGCGGCACCCGGTAGTATAGGAGGTCCGTAGCCATCACCTGTTGGCCCTCTATGGTTTGGAGTTAAAGCCGACTCACCAGTGAAAAATACGGAATCGACACTGTTAAGGTCTAAAAATCTGTGGTCAGTACAAAGGTATAACTAGCTGTGTAAGAAGTCATTTAAAAAGCTTTCAGAATGAATCTTCAAAAAAAGACCAGTGCTCTCTATAACATTATATGGATTGTTATTTTTTGACAGATTTCCAATATCAATTTATTATAATTGCTCCACTCTTTATCTGATTGCTATTTTTTCTAACACATTGTTTTTAGAGCTGGAAAAAGGACTAAGCTAGATGTTATACTTTTTTAAAGTGTTAACCCCCGTCCTAACATGTCAACACATTTGCTTACACCATAATATGAAAAAAATTGGGATAAAAAACATTAAAAACGTTTCTGAGCAAAAAC